AATGTGTTTCAGTAGGTGATCTGTTTCTTCATGTTTGACATCTTGACAGCACTAGTGAACATTTTCTCTTGTCCACAGCCTATCACTACCCTTGGAAGGCTGTAGGAGGGGTTATAGTGTGGAATGCACCAAAAGAGGTTAGTGTCGTTGGGGTTTTTTTAAGAGTTAGGAGACAGGGAGAGAGAAAGAGGATGGAATTGAGTGTGGAGTAGAGTGATGTGGTGTAAAAGCGAAGGCTGAAATTGGGGGAATTCAGGGAAATGTTAAAATGGAAATGTAACAGAAGCTAAGTGTTTTAACAATCAGCCATTCTGTCAATATGTTGTGTTTAAGCCTTGAGAAGAAAGTATATTAATTGCTACTTGAGTCTATATGGCAGGGGAGCATAGAAAATATACAAACTTATTTGTTTGGTGGGTTCTGTAGAAGTAAATTGGGGTGCCAAAGGGCTATAGTGTCATTTACTACTGGAAGGAGTTTTAAATGTATTTGATCAGCAGCCTAATCTCCTCTATTCAATTTGGTAGAGGGGGCACCACTAACCATTTAACTTCATACAGATTGCAGATTATTTACCTGTTTCACACAAGCCATGGGTGTTTTATATATGTATCAGAGCCCCAGCATCTGTAAGGGACTACAGGACCTGGATGAAGTTTGAACTTTGATGAACTAAGCTATGATGAACTCATATACAGGTAAAGGTAAAGGTTCCCCTTGACAATTTGTCCAGTTGTGTTCGACCCTAGGGCGCAGTGCTCATCCCCGTCTCCAAGCCGTAGAGCCAGCATTTGTCCATAGACAGTTTCCATGGTCACGTGGCCAGCACGACTAGACACAGAATGCTATTACCTTCCTACCATGGTGGCAGCTATTTATCTACTTGCATTTACATGTTTTCAAACTGCTAGGTTGGCAGGAGCTGGGACAAGCGACAGGAGCTCACTCTGTCACGTGGATTCGATCTTACGACTTGCTGGTCTTCTGACTTTGCAGCACAGAGGCTTCTGCGGTTTAACCCGCACATCCCCTGAACTCATAACTGCTCCCAAATAACTATTAGAAAAAGTGATTTCAGTTTTCTGTTGGCTCATAAAAAGTGAACTCATAACTGCTCCCAAATAACTATTATGTTGGCTCATAAGAAGAATGAATAAATCAGTGTAGTTTTTACTGGCAATGAGTGAGTGAGAAAGAAGAGTTGCTTCACTGCTTCTTAAGATCTAGTGTACAAAAAGCACGGTTACACTAGTTTGATCTCCCTTTAACTGCCATGGCTCTGTCCTGTTAATGTAGTCTTGTGGGGTACCTAAAATTCTCTGCAAGGAGAATCAGGATAGTACATTAGAACTCTCTCGCAGATAATTCTAAAAGCCTCACCAAAGTACAAACCTCAAAATCTGCCTGGATGGAGTCCTGGCAGTTAAAGTGCTATCAGTATCAGCTATAACTTGGTAATGCAGATACAGTCTTAAAGTTCCCCAATGGTAGATTATTGCCACAAAATTAGTGAGAACAAAATGGCAGCAACATTTCTGGAGTGAGGATTCAAGTATAGTATATGTGAGACCTCTCAGATTACATGGAGGGACTGGTGTGTAGCTATAAATATCACACTATAAACATTCACACTGCTACTGAATGTTACCTTGTAAAACTATTCCCAGAGGATTAGGACAAAGAAATGTGCAAGTGTACTGTCAGCCTATTCATGAGAGACTTCTCACATAAAAGAATCAGGTGAAGGGAAAATGCAACATTTATACACTGCCTCCTTGGTCTGTATTCAGTTACTACAAAAACAACAGTGCATTCATTTTATATTAAAGAAATTGTGGAGTGTAGGTCAAGTTCAGAGCCATCAGAACTAAGGCAGGTAATCTGACAGAATTCTATGTACATTCAATATCAGGACACTGTTTGGTTAGTTCTATATCCATTAGGTGAGCTGTATACTGCAGAAAAGATCTCAGAGCAATATTTAGACTTATAATACTATAATAATATTTATTTTTATTGTGCTCTATACCAGAGCACAGTCCAATACTAAAAAACAGTTAAAATATAACCAAAACATAATTACAGTGATAAAAAGATTCAGTAAGCAATTATCATTCAATAAGGCAATAAACAATCAAAATAGCTATAACAACAATATAATAATTAAAGTACAGTAATTCTATCACAATAATTCCCTATTTCACAACTTCATAACAACCGTGTGGGTATGGGAGAATAGGAGACAGCAATTAGTTCAAGGAAAATTGGTTAGGCTGATGGATTAGAGTCACTTCAGGGCTAATGTAGAAGTTGTGTTTCCTATAGCTTTATTAGAATTTGCCTTGTAAGCATGTAAAAAAAATCAGTTGCTTTAAGCATTTGGGGCCATGTGCTATAGTCCAGTGATGGGCAATGGGTCCCAGACATATATCCACCCTGAATGTGTACCTTTCTGCTTCATACATCATGGGTAAACTCTCCTTGTATGCACAATGGTTCACTACATGGGTGATCTTTCGGCAGGATTTTGTGCAAAGAGTTACTCATTTCTCCACTGTGCAGATGGAAGTCCTGTTGCTTTCACTGGAATAGTCTCTGACTTATACAGGTATAAACTGGAGATTGTGGGAAGTGTGATGCCTGCAAGTAGTTATGCTCTATGTTTTCTCACAGAATTCTGGCCTATATGTTTATCATAGCAAACAAAACATTGGCGTCACTGTATCCAGCCTAGATATACGTAATACTGTGTTTTTTGCACCATAAGACGCACTTTTTTCCCACAAAACAGGGGGGTGGAAAGTCTGTGCGTCTTATGGAGTGAAGAAAACAGATTATATTTTCCTGTTTTCTTCTCCTAAAAAATTGGTGCGTCTTACGGAAAGGTCCGTCTTATGGAGCGAAAAATACGGTAGTTGCCACATAAATCATAGAACTGCCTGAAATTGAACCAGTGTACTTTATTACCTTTCTAATCCCACTTTTCTTCCATCAAGGTGGCTCACACAGATTCCCAGTAAGCTTTGCCCAAAGTCAGAGCCTCACAGTCTGGGCAAGATTGTTACATCATGATTGTTACATCAAACCATGCTCACACCGGCGCTTTCTCAAGTCCAGGCACTTTCATAACAGGATGATTTAGACATTGTCTCTGCTTGTAGTATTTCTAATTTCAAAAGGGTATTCCCTGTTTTACAGAGCTAAGCAACAGGGTTTCAAAATGTATACAGATATAAGAATGCTGCTGCTGCTGCTAGGAAGGAAATATGGGATGTGCAGACAAACAACTCCGTAATAGATCAAAAGATAACAACACTGTCAACATCGAAACCTTTCTTCTTTCTGCAGAATTGTACTGTGTGTGATGAATGGGTTCTCAGATTCCTCCTGCAGAAGAGCTCTCACAAGCAAGAACTCAAATAATGCAGTGCTTTATTAAGCACTTCGTGGATCTTCTTTAAATTCCCATAAAATGGAACTTTGCATATATTTAGGATGGTCCCTAGAGGAAGATATGTGTCGGCTTAATTTCCCACCATATGTTTCATTCAAAATTATAGACATCTGTAACTTATTTGTAAGAAGTGTCATACAGACCGAATACTTGTGCATCACATCCAAAATTAGATGAATTGTCCAACTGTTTGGGCATACTGTTATTACTTTCCCCTCCACCCATGAACCAAATTTTAATATTTTTCTACTTTCCCCCTGTTCAAGACCTGCAACCGCAAAGAGGCAACTCCCATGTCAGAAACGTGAAATAAATTATTTGATTTATCATTTGTTTAAAAAGTTCCAATAAACTTTCCAATATAATCTAGTAAGAGTAAAATAATTTCTAGTAGAAATAAAATAAGGATGTCTATACTGTATAGGGATGTTATTTTTTAAAAAAAACAGTAAGAATTTACTAATTTCTCCATTTTCACAATGAAAAGCATTTTGGTTTAAAAAAAAAATAAATTTGAGAAAATGACATATTCCTCCATCCACACACAGGATTTTGATTGGGTAACTATTAAAAAGCTGGTTTCAAACTCCTTTGCAGAACCATATTAATATTGGTTAGGATTATGACTTTTTTCCCCCTGATGAGCTCCGCCTTTAATTTCTATATGGCAGGTAGATTCAACATGATTGTCTCCATCTAAAAATACTTTTGGGATTGTATGTGGTCATTGCAAATCATAGGAAAAAAACTTTAGAGCTGTTTTCATGTTTGGGATGGAAAGGAGGCTTTAAAATTTTGAATACTGAAGACAAGAAAACAGAGATCTTCCCACCCTTGGTCTTGTAATCCTTCTTGATATTGAGTTGCCATGATTTGGGGGAATATATGTTAGCATGGTCACATATTGGTGATGGGTTACAATTTAATCTACTGTGGGGGGAGTCTCAGTGGAGAGTATCCTATGGCCAGGAATCACACCTCCAAACTTAAATACAAAGAGCATATTATTCTTAAAATATCCTGTGAATTCTACTTGTTCCTTAGAATTTTATATGCAATACATAAAATTTTTTGCTTAATGCTGTGCAATATCGTGATGTTGTTCCTCATATGCAACATATGTTGCATAAATAAATAATAACAATAATTTAATAAGTCAACCTCTGCAAAGTGGCATGCTGAAAGAGGTCTAAAAAAACCCAAATGATCATGTAGACATGTGAGCAACTTCAGAACTGAAATGACATCTGGCCTAAATTCACCATTTGGCAAAATTTCAAATATTGGTGGAATTTAAAATCTCAAATTCAGCTTCCCCAATTCAGTTTTAAATCTACCAGAATATGAATCATAGCTTCTTAGAAAAAATATGCATCTAATGCAGCTGTATCCTTCTAGGAAGAAAGCTTCTCCTTGGTATCCACTGACTCGGAAGGTTTTTTTTTAAGTTACTAAAGCAGTGGGAGATAGATACTTCATTGATAGAACTAAGCACTCTATGTGAATCAGAATTCAGAGACAACTAACATTCTTGCTATGTTTACAGGTTCCATGTATGATGGTCTCACTGATGGTTACAGTTATGGAACAGCCCGTGGAAGCTACTATGCCAAAGCCAACACAGGAAACAATTGGGGCCATTCGGTAAGGTTTTCACTAAGACCCATGGCATACCACTAAGACAGAAAGAAGTGGGAGGGCATGTCATATTCTACAAAACAACCCATAAAGCAAATATTCTAAAAGAGACAACCCCTTTCCTTCACCTCTTTTTTGTTTTTATATTTTTTTTCCATGGCAGCATAGTGCTTATTTGACTCAGCGCTAACACTGTTTGGAGATGACAATTGTTTATTTGCAGGGAGCTGGCACCTTCGTGACTGCCTCTTTACTTTGGATTTAGCGATTATATAGGGTAGAAAATATAGCAAAATGATGCTAGTTGAATCAGAGCAAAATAAAGCATCTCTGCTGACTGAACAAAAAGAGATGATTCCTCACTGGATTTCCCCCATGCTTTATGTTGTGTAGTCACTGTTGTTTAATTCAGTTTCATTTGTGTCAAATCCAATACAAACTGTGGGTTAAATTACTAATGTAGTAACTGAGCTATAGTGCATTCAGAGCAAGAAAGATATGCTGTATATATTTCACCATATTTTTCCATTTATTAACACACCCCTATTAGAGCAAGAAAGATATGCTGTATATATTTCATTTATAACACACCCCCATTAATAAGATCCCCCCCCCAAATTTTCTAACCCCAAAATTAAGAAAACTTAGCTTTGAGGATTCAGCCTTGGAGCTCAAAATGCCGGACATTTTGTCTCTGTTGAATCTTGAGCCTACAGGCTCTACCTCCAAGGAGGTGTGTTCCAACTGGTTTGTTCAGGGCCAGCTGATATAAGTTCCATAAAGCTTGTGACTGGAGAAAGCTAAGTCTCCTGAGTGTAGGAAACTAAGCCTCGTGGCTGAAGGAAGCCTGTATACGGAGGCAAGGTATGTGCCGTTTTGTTCTCTCCTCAGCTATCTCAGCTAACTTCCATGCAAAAGATACCCCTCAATTTTTAGGGTAATGATTTTAGGAAAAAGTACCGTCTTATAGACGGAAAAATACGGTAGTTCATATTTCACTCAGCAGCTTATAGTGGATCCCAATTATGTACTCAGAAATGGTCAGATTTGCTGAGGGCCATTTGGAGCAGATATTTCTACTGGGCCCTGGTTTGAGTTCCATTCCCATTCCCATGAGGTAAAAAATGAAACTAAGTTATAGCTCATGACTGAGGATGCTTACACAACTGCATTACCCTGTTGCTATAGGGCAAGCCAAGAATTTGTAAAATTTGTCAGGATCCATCAGAAGCAGGGTTCACAAGAACCCAGTGGTCTTATACACCCCTTCTGACTCAATTGTTCTATGATTTTACGAACCGTACTTAGGAGTAATTACTTTTGGACTAGTTCTATGGCATGTGAGAGTATGCCCTCCTATAGAACCAAAACAGTGAAATAAAACTTACACACAAACTGTAAGACTTATACCTTGTGAGACGAAAAGAGGGATGCATTTCTATATGATATGCTTTCTTGAGAAGTATCTGTCCTCAAGTCCCTACTGGCTATGTAGGAATAGCTCTTCTCTTGTGCCAGGGACTATAATAATCAGAGATACTGAAATCCGAGGAACAGTGTGAACTTGTTTTGCTCATGATTTACAGTTCCCACAGATGGGTAAATTATTTACCCATCTTCTGATATACAATCAGATCAGACTGTAAATGCAAATCAAGCAGACAGAAACATAAAGAAATAAAGTGACAGGACTTTAATTAGTTCTCAAAATGTTCAGAGTTGAGGGTTTGTGAATGGGGAGGGCGGAGTGTATGTTTGTGCTTCTTCCAGAGAAACTATGCTCGGCACATATATTCTGGTATAGTCCTTCCCCATTGTTGTTCATAACTGAAAATATAGCCTAATAATATCACATCAATTTGGAACATTCTGTGAAATAAACCACCTTATCCAAACAAATTTCATGTGTTTGATACAGGAAATAGGAGCAGTATACATTTCTGCAGTTGAAACGATTTTGCTCTTTCTCGGTCTCCTTCATACATTTTTCTTAGAATTTACTCTTTTTTTTTCAAAATTGGCATAAACATTCTCAGGACAAACTATATATTTATCTAGTATACAAGGGAAAGTATATCTGGCATCCAAGGCTAGGGCTAGACTATCAGAGTTGTCTACCTCATGAAGCAGTATCTGTTTTACATTAGCTGATGCTATAATATTTTTTTTATTTTAAGGATGTCATGAACCTAACAAACATTAGACACATTTCTGCAGTTGAAACGATTTTGCTCTCTCTCTGTCTCCTTCATACATTTTTCTTAGATTTTACTTTTTTTCAAAATTGGCACAAACATTCTCAGGACAAACTATATATTTATCTAGTATACAAGGGAAAGTATATCCGGCATCCAAGGTTATGGCTAGTTGTCTACCTTCATGAAACAGTATCTGTTTTACATTAGCTGATGCTATAATATTTTTTTTTTATTTTAAGGATGTCATGAACCTAACGAACATTACACTCACAAGACTCTGCTTTCATTTGTGCATAACTTTATCTTCTCTCTTACTCAGCATGAGATATACTGTATGTGACTGAAACTTCCTTTTTTAGTTAGAACTGAATAGAGAAACTTTCAGTCTTGTTCTGTATAAGAGATCAGGCATATAGACAGACACGCATGTCAGTCTGACATCAATTCCTGGGAAGATTCTAGAGAAGATCATTAAGCAATAGTAGAATGTGGGATAGCTAATGCTACTGTTACATGGATTTGTAATTGGTTGACTGACCAAACCCAAAGGGAGATCACAAACGGCGCCCCTTTGTCCTGGAAAGAGGTGACTTGTGGGGTGCCCCAGGGTTCTGTGCTAAGTCCCACGTGAATGTAGCATATCTTTATTTCAGTAAGGCCTTTGACAAGGTTCCTCATGATATTCTTGCAAAGAAGCTAGTAGAATGTGGGATAGCTAGTGCTACTGTTACATGGATTTGTAATTGGTTGACTGACCGAACCCAAAGGGTGATCACAAATGGCACCCCTTTATCCTGGAAAGAGGTGATTACTGGGGTGCCCCAGGGTTCTGTGCTGAGTCCCATTTTATTCAACATCTTTATCAATGACTTGGAGGAAGGAATAGAGAGTATGTTGATTAAATTTGCAAATGATACCAAATTGGCAGGGGTTGCTAATTCCCCGGAGGACAGGATTAAAATTCAAAATGACCCTGACAGATTAGTCTTAGGCCAAAACTAGCAAAATGAATTTCAACAGGGAGAAATGTGAAGTCCTACAGCTAGGCAGAAAAAATAAACTGCACAGATAGAGGATGGAAGACACCTGGCTACACAACAATACCTGTGAAAGGGATCTAGGAGTCTTGGTAGACCACAAACTGAACATGAGTCAGCAGTGTGATGCGGCGGCCAAGACAGCCAATGCAATTCTTGGTTGTATCAGTAGGAGTATAGTGTCTAGATCAAGGGAAGTGATAGTACCACTCTACTCTGCTTTGGCCAGACCTCACCTGGAGTATTGTGTCCAGTTCTGGGTACCTCAATTCAAAGAGGATGTTGACAACCTGGAACGTGTCCAGAGAAGGGTGACTAAAATGGTTAAAGGTCTGGAAGCAGTGTCCTACGAGGAGTGGCTTAGGGAGTTGGGAATGTTTAGCCTTACAAAAAGAAGGGGGAGAAGGGACATGATAGCCATGTTTAAATATTTGAAAGGATGCCATGTTGAGGAGGGGACAGGTTTGTTTTCCAGGGCTCCAGAGACTAAGACATGGAGCAATAGTTTCAAACTACAGGGGAAGAGATTCCATCTGAACATTAGGAAGAACTTCCTGATGGTCAGAATTGTCCAACAGTGGAACAGGCTGCCTTGAAGGGTGGTGGAGTCTCCTTCTTTGGAGGGTTTTAAGCAGAGGCTGTTGATGGATGTTCCCTCATGGTGGGGGATTGGACTGGGTGGCCTCAGTCTCTTCCAACTGTATGACTCTATGACACATGTTAATATATGAAAGCTCCTGCCCATTCGCCTTCATGATAATGTCACAACACAGCATCATCTGGAAGCCATTTAGATGCATACACGGCTTCGGTCTCCCATTCTAGAGAATGTTATGAGTAGAAAAAATGTCAGCTTCCAACTATTAAGAATTTGAAAATGGCATCACCAGCATCAATCAACTCACCATAAGCTTTTCCCCTTTTCACTGACCCACCTAATGAAATATGTTGAAATGAAAACCCTAATCCACAATCCTTGGGGGGGTGGGGGCAGACAGGGAGAGAAAAAGCTGGGGGAAGTATGTCCTTGTTCACACTCACATGAATTTACTTGTGCAAATATGTGACATACCTTGGAAAATGTAGCAAAGTGAGTTTTGGAACTGCAAAGTTGCTCAATGTTCCCTTTTAGTCATTTTAACAAGAATCCATTCTAAACAGTAAGAATATGGTCTAATTTTTTTAAAAAAGGAAAAATCATATGCCCCCAAGCATTTTGGCCTCAAAAACATAATTTTTAAAAATATAACAAGAAACATTACTTATTACTCAGAAATAAACTGAGACTAGGCAAATACGCACGTGCACACATGCACATGCAGATGGGCACACATGCACGTGCACACACACACAAACACATAAAGAAGAGACAGGGCCTGCTTGTAGACCACAAAGCTGATTAAAAAGGAAAAGAGGATGTGCATCAGAACACAAGACCTCCTGACAACATCTCTGCATTCCTGTAAAAATGAAAGAGACACTTAACATTCTGCTGCAGATTCATGCATACCTCCCTGCTTGCATGTTGTCTTCCAGCTGGGCTCACTTTTCCCACATCTCCTTTGCATGCAACAGACAAAATTCCCACAAAAAAAGAGAAGAAAAAGGAGGAAAAATTCCAAAATGTCTTTCTTTCCTTCCTTAAACTGTGAGGTATTTGTTAAGCTGCAGGTGCATGTGACTCCCTAGACACACTCTGTCACTTTTTCACTTGCTCTGTGTCTTCCAGCAAAATATCAATAGCAGAATCAATTGGGGGCTGGGGGTGGGG